GTCTCTAATCTTCAGTTTCAGTCTTCGATGTTTGCTGAAGGATCTTTGGTGTGAGTGTTGTCTTCTTGAAGTATTGTTGTCTCTGATAGATTTACATTGCAAGTTGTTCAGCGATCACTGAACATACTTAGTGAAGATCACTGGAACTGAAAAGACAGAAACATAAATACACCGTACAAGTGAAAAGGGATTATCATCAAATCACTGAGAGAGATGATCAACAAACCCCACCAACTACTCATTTATCTCTCAAAAGCTAAGTGTTTCATTAACACTTGGGGCACGCAGCTCATTATCTATCGGTTTCTCATTTGGAGATAACTGATATTGAAAAAAAAGGATATATGTCCCCCTCTTCAAGTCTTTTTTATCACATTTGAGTCTGATAAATTTGTGTAGTCCATACTATTTACCTTATTGAGCTTAAATTGAAGCATTTGTTGCTTTATCATTTGTTTCCTTTTATAGTAATAGGTATAAATAGTGTATTGTTAGTTTTGTTAGTTGGTTCATTAACATTTTGAGAGATTGAAAGAGACTGGGAGATGAACAACATTTTGTACTTACTGTTTTGGAATACAAGCAAGCCGACATATTGAATTCTTCTATGTTCTTGATCATCTTTTAAATTGAATTGATTGTTATGACTTGAATCTGGGATCACAAAATCAAAGTGTGAAATCTGACCGAGACTCCAAATACTGAAGATTCTTCAAGATGAATCAGTGTCAACAATCAAATGAATCTTGCTCTACAAGATTAGTTTTTGTCTTATCCTATATGCACAAAAGGACAACTCCCATGCCTTACATAGAAAGGTACATGTACGAAGTTACTTTATTGTCTCCAACCAACTTTGTAAAGTCAACAACTGTTCATATGCGGCCAAAAACTTGCATATCTGAAGACAAATGACAAGCTTTCCAATAGATGCTTGCCACGTGGATTATACTCTTTGACGTACATCAAAATGCAATGGATATAAATAGCTAAGAAGAACCTTCACCTTAGTTTACCACTTCTCATACTTCTATCCTTAGAAGGTTTCTTCTTCCTCTAATCCTCTGCATTTCTATATTTTGTATCTTTGTGATTCTCAAATTGTTTAGATTAGGTTTTAACCTTTTCTTATTCTGTAACAATTTGTAAATTCCGTTTTTGATTACTCAATATCAATAAAAAAAATTAAAAATAAAAACTTGTGTGTTTGTATTCAACCCCCTACAAACTGTTATACCTATAAACTCTTGTAGAATCCATTTGGGACCGACAATAATATGTAAACATATGACATAGTTATATGTACCGCGCAACCAAGGGCAGTGAAACACATCTCAAAATATGCTCTTTCATCTGTCTTATTTTGGTGATGGTACCTGGATTATAAAACCCCATGTTATAGAAAAATGGAGGGAGTTAGGTGAACGACTCCTCAAGGCTGTCCCTCACCATGTTTAGTTCATTACGATTCACACGCCATGTTTAGGGGTACCCAATAATAATTTTGTATTGTTGCTTTATATCATGCACAATGTCATGTGGCCGAAGTACCCCTGTTAGCATCTAGAAATTTACCTTTCAGTATTTGACCCAATACCTTTTTGTTTGTTTGATCGTGACTAGGATGCATTTAGGCCTTTGTACAAGTGTGTGCGTACTCTAACTTTCATACATGAAACATCTTGTTTTTTTTCTATAGAGGCTGCCATAATATGTCAACCACAATTCTCTCGTACACATACAACCTCGTATTTGGTTTTTGAAGATCTAATTACTTTAAAATCAAAAAACTCTTCAAGAAACTTCATTCCAAGGTTTATGATCATTTCTTCTTTTGTATTAAATAACTGACCCAATTGGCTCTTTCAAACTCAATATGGACAGTTCCGGAGAGCTTTTTGCGGGAAACTTGTAAGTACAGTTTGGGGGGAAGTGGGCTACTCCTCGAAAATGCCCCGCCCCTAGTTTCATTTGATCATTGGTCTGATGCTTCGGGCGAAACCTATTCCTAGGGTGTGCAGCTTTCCGCTTGCCTTTCTTCTCTTTCAATCTATTCGGTGTCCTTAGAAATCTGACAGTAGAGCCCGGGGTCGTCAGGTTGCGAGCCGAAAAGCGTACCGACAGTTTCACTTTGTTGCGACTGCCGCCGTCTTCGAGTAGGAAATCAAGAGAAGTGACAAATGAGACCTTTTAATGGATTTGTCAATACCAAAAATGGAATGGGACAGTCATTCGCCTTTCTTCCTAGGACATAAGCCTTTAATTGAACTTGAGCGGTTGGCGAATCCTTTTTTATTGATTGCACGAGCTAGCCAGCAAGCCAGCAACGTGAGGATCAGGATGCAGCGTACGGTTGGCAATGACACAACTATTCTTCCACTATGATTATAAGATATGGGTTGGTTGGACGTGATAGAGGGCTCTAGGATTGGAAGTGGATGAGGCATCTAAAAAAATCATTTATCCCACCAAATGATTTATCAGAAGGAGTTCTTGCTTCTTTATCTACATTTTCTTCATCTTCATCTTCATTCGTTTATGATAACTCAATATCAGATATACCCAATGTGAAAACATTGGCCTCGTCATCATCAACTCTAGCAAAACGTCCTTTTTCTTCTTCTACTACTTGTTGTGTCTCCAGAACAAACTCGGGGTAATAGTCACTGAGACCATATGATGCTCTGGAAAAAAGTTGGGGCCATAGGAGCTCTCTTATTGAGACTCAGACTTGGGCTAAGGAACATACATTCCTTGAGTTTGATATTGATCTTGGGTTTAATGGTTTTCAGTGTTCGAACCACAATTGACATCACCTCTACCGCACATCGAAAGGTCGACATATACATAAAGTGTAAGCAGATTATTTGACTCGACAACGAGTTCCATAAAACCACTAACATCATCATTGTCAGCTAACTCAAAAATTAAACTGTCATACTCGTACACTAACCTGGTTATACCAACTAAATTGTTGATAACACATTTTCTTTGAACATAACCGACTAAGCTTTGATGTGTAAACTTTGCATGCAATTGTACAACATGGTGCATCGATTGACCAGAAGAAATACAATCCCACTCATTGTTTGCTTTCACCCATTCACCACAGGCACAAATATGTAACTTCATTTTTTCAGGACTGGAACTCATTTTCAAGTTGAAGAAAGAAAGATATATGATGCACAAAGGAAGAAATTAAGTTGATATTATTTCTCTGGATATCTTCATCGTTCCTTCATGGCTATTTTATAAATCAAATGAATAAAATTCATCCATTCAACCATCAATTAGTTATAGGAAAAATAATACAATTATTGAACGATTTTCCATTAATTTTTAGGCTTTGTTGAAAAAAATAGTAGTTGCCCATAATTAAACATGTCTGAAAAACGTGAAAATGAGATTTTTTTTCGAAAATTGCGGCAGTCAAATGGTCAAAGTTACGGATGTAAGATCTGGTCAAAATAATAAAATTAGGGTTTTACCTCTAGCAGATATGTGTCAGGTCCGTAATTACGGACATGGATAGAAAGTGTAAAATTCGGAAAGTTTGGGAGCAGGTTTGCAATTGCGGATGTAGGTAGAAACAATAAAAATAATTATCGTTTAGCTAGATTCACAATTGCGGACGTGTGTTTTTACGGACGGAGTGTTGTATTAATAAATACGGAAGAAAAATGGCTAAAAGATAAAATCAGATTAATTAAAATAACTAGTTTAATTAATTTTTAAAGAAAATAACATCTATTCTTTCTTTTATGATTTAAAAACATGGAAAATTTATCCCTTTTTTCATTTTATTGCATTTCTTTTTTAAACACATATTTAACCCCTTTTTTGAACTGAAACTCGCGTCTATATAAATAGCTACACTACTAGATATTCATCATCATGCTTTCCTTAATGCACTTTTTCTCTTGCAAACCCTAACTGATCTATCTGTATGACTGTTCTAAATCAACCAATTTACCAACGGTTCTACTCTATGCTCGATTAATTACTGATTCTATCAGAGCTTGATTTCTCTAATTTAACTCCGTCAATTTGTATGTTTTTCAGATTTCTGCTGTGCTCTTTCTTGGTTTGATCGAAGTAATTTGGAGCTACTAAAGACTATTACGAGGTATATAATAACTTATCAAGGTATATCTGCTCCCAATTATGGAGTCTTTTCATGGCTTTGTCATATGCATGTTCGAGAGATATTTTGTAAAGTTCGTGTTTCTATTGCTGCTTTATTCGAGTGTATGTTTTTTTGTATTGTGATGATTTCGCAGCCAGTCATTGTATTTGGTTGTAGCCTCAAAAATTAAGAGAAGATTGATGGGTATGTGTATGTTTCAAATTTAGTAACTAGAAAAGCTAGGAATGGATTGCTTAACCTACTTCCATCTCTACCCTTTTCCATTTCTCTAATATAGTCTTTTTCATCGTTGAAACGAACTTAATTGAGTGCAAATGGGACTGTTGAAGTTGTGTAGTGTACAGATCATAGATGGTGTAATTTATGTCCTTGCTGCCTGTATATGAGTGCAGAGGAGGTTCTTAAGACACTATTCCATATTCCCCAGTTACCAATACTAAAAGGAGAAATAGATATTTCTATTTTCTATCTATGACACTTCTTACGTATATTGACCATTCTGTGTGGTGTATGTCATAATCCTAAATAGGAGTTTTTTTTTTTTTTTTTCTTGTGTTCATGTAGGGATTTTCTTCGGTTGTGTTTAATATTTCTTCAGTTGAGTTTAATAGTTCTTGTCGGCTTATTAAAATTTTCCATTTCTAGCCCCTCCTTTTTTTCTCTGCTTCTTGCTGTCATTGAAGAAAATGGCATTTTTTTGCCATTGTAACATCAAATTCAAATGAAGGACATCGCAATTTTGCTATACCGTATGTGAGCATAAGTGTAGCTGTTGTTACTTGTTACTGCTTTCAGAGATAGTTTTAAGGTTGCATTTTGTTCTCCTTGCATAATTAGGTAATCCTTAAAAAAGTATTGGTAAAACTTTCTATTTTGTGGTAACTGTGTGTATTATATATTAGAATAAGCTGAGGTTTCATAGTTATGAAATAAATACCTTGAAATGCATGATTCATATTATTTTCTACTGGCAGTTTGTTTGTTTGTGAAGTTTTTAAATCGAACCGTTAATTCACAATATTTTCTTTGCAATAAAATTTGTGGTACTGAACTGATTTTGAAAGTTTTGGAGATACCAAAATGGAGATAGAAACAAGAGTTAGACTAGCATGGTACCAGCTGCCATGAGAATTCAAACTCTGGAAAGAGAACTTTCAGATTCTATATGAGGCGATCTGGGATAAAGATTTTTTCATTCATCCCCATTAATTATAAGAGAGAAAAAAGAGAAAATAGTATCAATTTTGTGGTTTTTCTCTTTTGGTGCTTTTTTTCTGTGTTAGGCAATCATCAAAGATTGTATCTTCCCAATGTACAACTGCTAAAGCTGGTGGATGTTAGTTTTGTGAAATGAGGAAACCAAAGCAAGTAATGGATGTCTTGTAAGGTTATTTGAACTCTATTACGATAGTGATTGGTGGCTAAATCATTTAAGAAAGTGACAGCAATTAACATGGAATTTCATTTTTCATGATCATTTTTGTGACAGCACAATTTAAAATTGAAGAGTTGGGATATCCACCAAGTCGGCATGATCTTACCACAATAAAACGAATTTTTTTAAAATGGGGCCATTAATTGCTCTTCCCCAGAAACATCATGAAATTCTGGCAGATTACCTACACTGATCATGTGGTCAGAAAAGAGGTGGTTGGCGTGCACTTTCTGTTCCCAGATCTTCACTCTTAGATTTATGGTCATGCATTCTCTTAGTATGGTATTTTGAAGGGGTTCCTTCATCTTATAAACCCGATTAGTTTTGACACTTGGTTACTGTTACTAACTATAAGTTCTTACATTAAAAATTGTTTGCAAGTAGTTTTATTAAGGCTGTTAGTGTAATTAGTAGATTGAGGAACAGTCTACCCGTTGGGGTAGAAGGCAATTCTGTCACTTCCGAGTGAGATATCCTAAGTTAGTTTGGTTTGAGGAACAAACAGATAAATAGCCGTCCATATTTTCTTCATTCTTTCTTGGTTGCAGCAGATACATGTATAAGTTGCTTCTATATGAGGTGATGTTCCTGTGGCAGATTTTCCTTCTTACAGCTAACAGATTTCTATCCACCTCAACTAACTAATGCCGACAGCTGGCTAACTAACTGATATTTAAAATCTAGGTATGCTGTGTTTCTATTTAACCTTTCACCGTTCCTCTCTTAAGGTTCTCTTCTATAACCTAAATCTTCAAAATCAGCTCAAATTGCCTACAAGAGTTTTCTATCTTCTACTCTATAGCAAGTTGCCACAATGTTTAACATACAATACTTGACAAGATTCTCATATGGTGTGTGTACATACCATGACTTAATACAAGGTGGTATTTTCTTTTGGGGCTAGTCTCTTCAGGTAACCTTAAAAGTTTTTCTATTTTAAAAAAACCACCCCAGAAATATGGTTGCAAGTTGCAATGCCTTGTGTCTATGGTACTTTGTCAATTTGAGATGTCCAGGGCATGTGTGTCTATTTTGCTAGTTACCACACAAGAATAGTGAAGACTGAAGAGTTTCTAATCTCCCTTCTGACTTCCTTCTTGGTCGTAGTTAATTTTGACTTCCTTGTTGGCCGTAATTACTTTTTGGATCTTAACATTAATCCTCCTAGTTCATTTTCTTGTTCTGGACATCTTGCTAAACACCTTTTTTGTGATGGTGTGTTCTACCCAATGCCACTTTTGCTTCAAAGGTGATATTCAGTTGTTCACTTAAAGCTCATGTATTTAGTATGGTGTCATTGTAAGGTAATTACTTCTAGTACAGAAGAAAGCCTTAACACCCAGGCAGGTCATTTAAGAACATTTTAGCCAGAGGACAATCATCTTCTTGTTTGCTGCCATTTTTCCTAGTGGTTTGGAGTATATCTAGTATGGTGCTTAGTTCTATGGAACCTTGTGTCTTCTATTTTCACTTGAATCCTTCTTACATTATCGTGTGATCTAGTGGAGACTTAGATGTTTGATGGGCTTTTGTAACTTGTAGTTTCTGGTGGTTGAGCAAGCTAGCTTGAGCAACACTGATAGGTCCCAACCAATGCTCTTGTGATAATGCCTAAATGAACTCTTCGAGTGAGAACAAACCATGAAGTTTGGGACAATTTTATGCACTCTTTTTCATTCCTTGGAAGATATTAAATACATAGACTTCGTAACTGTTCTCCTGTATCCACGACTGCTACTACAATGCATAATCAAAAGCTAGATCATGGAAGGAAAAATAACCGACACACACAGTTAGATTAAGGAAGTAAAATAACCGACTCGAACTGCTAATACTTCAACTACTAAGGCTCGGTCCAAATATTGATTTATCAATACCCCACATTTTTACGGGACCTTGTCCTCAAGGTTCAAGTTTGACAACTGCTTGTGCAACTCTTTTGCGGTTGTACAACCAGTTAAGATGTGCAGAAAAATTTCCGGATTACATGCAAACTATTTTGCCCTATTTAGTCTCTCCTACCTCACCATTGATGTTCCCTTCCAACAGCAATAGTTGAGGCCTCTTTGCATCGATGACCAGGAGGGTACTTGTAATCAAAGTTGAAAGAGTCCTTGTGTATGTCTCTGTTGCATCTCCTACCAACTTTTTGATAGGGAGGGGGGAGACCCCTCCAGATCAAGGCAAAACACTAAACGCTAAAAGCAACAATTACTTTTAGCGTTTAGTGTTTTGCCTTGATCTGGAGGGGTCTCCCCCCTCCCTATCAAAAAGTTGGTAGGAGATGCAACAGAGACATACACAAGGACTCTGTTTCAACTTTGATCTGGAGGGGTCTCCTACCAACTTAGTTTCTTGAGAGGTGGTGTTGTCATGGTTGTGGGTAGGTTAACGGGTTGTCATCAGTAGTGGCGATCGTTAGATTCCCCCTTGATGTTGTGGCTGTTCGTCTCTCATGCAAGCCAAGCTTGTCGGCTCCTTCAAGGTTTTGGGCTTGAATATAGAAATTGTTTCAGAAATTTCTGACCTCAACCCGCCCATGAACGACCTGGCCAGCGTCTTCTGAACTCGGTTACCAAGCATCTCGAACTCCTTTCAGTAATCACGAAGGGGTCCAGCCTGCCTTAGCTTGGATACAGCTCATCGAAGTCTTCACACTCTGTGGGTCAAAACGAGCCCATAATTCCTCCTCAAATAACTCTCAAGTTACCACACGATCTTCCTCCTGGTAAGCACGATTGCAAGCCGCAGCAACTGCCACCTTTGATTGAATTCTCCTTCAAGATGAAAAGCGGCTAGAGAGACCTTTTGTTTATCTGCTGTGCTTTGAAAATTCAAAAAATGGAGCCACAGGGTTAAACCATTCAGTTGGGTCGTCCCTGGCATATTCTGGGAATTCCAAATTTTGTCATCCTTGAAGAAATCATTTGTCTGCTGCCGTTGTTCTTCTTAAGAGGGTGCAGGGCAAATCCTTCTCAGCCATTGGCCAACAGAATTTCAGACAACCGGTTGACGGTGTCCTCAAGTTGTTGCATTGCATCCTAACTGTTAGGAGGCCAGCCCCCAGGGCCTCAATCGTATCGAGCTTTGATACCAATGATAGGTCGCGGCCAAGCTCCTGGGATGATGACTAAATGAACTCTTCTGCTGGGAACAAACCACAAAGTTTGGGATAATTTTCTGCCCTCCATTTCATTTCTGAGAAGATATTGAATACATAGACTTCATAACCATTCTCCTATATTCACGACCACTACTACAACGCATTACACAAAAGGTAGATCATGGAAGGAAAAATAACTGACACCACACAGCTAGATTAAGGAAGTAAAATGACCAACTTGAACCGCTAATAGTTCAACTGCTAAAGACAGAACAAATATTTCTGATTTATCCAAGACCTAAAGGAATTCTAACTCAGTCTCAGGCTGTTACAATTTTGAGTGTTTGAGTGGTATTCGTGCCCCCGTTTGGTGTCGGCTGTGGGAGTTGTTAGGAGACCCCTTGCTTGCATTTCTTCTGGAAAGAGGATCCTTTGAATATTACGGTCCTCTTAATGGCCTTAGGACAGGATGCTTCTGAATGATTATGGACCTGCATGTGCATGAGATGATTCCTCTTGATGATCCTTTGATCTAGGGGTGTATAGAAAACCGTCAATCCATGAAACCCGCCCAACCCAACCCGCTAACAACCCAACTAAACCCAACCCGCCAAACCGCTAAACCGCTAATTAGGAGGGTTGAAATTGGGTTAGCATAACTCAAACCAACCCAAACCGCCAATCCGCCGCTAGTATAAAATTATGTATATGTGTATATATATATATATATATATATAATATTTACAAAATTATAATTTACTGCCGAGTGCCGACCGAACTGTGGTTGTTGGCTTGCTGCCGACCGGACTGCTCTCGTTCTCGTCCCCAATTCATACTCCCAATTCTGCTTCTCGAGTTACTGAATTCTTTTCTGCTTGCTATGGCCTACGGGACTCTGGTTGCTGTGAGCATGTGAGTAAATCGTTCTCTATTTGCTACGGGATTGTGGTTGCTTACTTTGTTGGGTATATTTTTCATATTATTTATCATATTTCATTTGCCAACTTTATGAATTTTAGACTCGCCAACCCAACCCAACCCAACCCGCCCTAACCCGCAAGGGTTGGGTTGGGTTATACTTTTGAATGAGTTGGGTTTGGTTGAGATTTTCCAAACCGTCTTAATTGGGTTGGGTTGTAAAAATGTCAAAAACCACCCAACCCAACCCGCGTACACCCCTACTTTGATCTGTAGCCATGTTGCTAGGTCAATACCACAACATGGGAAACTTGCTGCTTATACTATACCACATGAAACATTTGAAGTGCCATCAGTTTGTATTTTGTATCTGGAGAATAACATCATGTAACAAAGTTTTTCAATCTAAAAAGTTCATGACTTTGAATACTTCTTGCGAACACAAATGTTACAAATTCATAGTCCCTTCATGAAACTGATATCAGATGATTTAATTTCATCGTCTTCATTTCCTGCGAAATTACTGAGCAACTTGATGCATTTACTTTTTGATTGTACTATATTCATGTTGGTGTTAATTGTGCATGAGGTCTTATATAGGTTTCTTCGTGTTGCCATCCATGGTTTATATCATTAATTTTATTCGGCGGATCCATAAGTCTTTTCCAATTGTGTCACAGAATAATTACTGTAATTAAATAAATAAAAATCACTTATAGTTACAACATACAGTACAAAACACTAAGAAAGCAGATCCAATTTCAACGATTTACAGTCAGGGTTTTTGCGTTCCACCATTGTTAACCATCAAACTCAAAACATATGCTATTGTAGCCTCTCAGTTTCCGGCATCGATGCCCTGTGGTGGCACAAATCGAATCACAATAGTGGCACTTTTAGAGCCGTAAATTTTCCCACTGTGTCATGACAATTGAGGGGTGGCACGGGACCTCCTAGGTATACCTAAATCCACTCCTGTATGTAGTACATGGATTGACCGTCCATTCTTTACATCCTTGTGTGTGCTACATATATGCTTGTTGGTATGATGTTTTCAGTCTCACTTCATAATATTCTAATTTAATTAATTTCGTATTATGGTGTGAACACAGCCTCTGAGTATGGATCAGCAAGAGCATGGGCAGGGTAGCTCAGGTCAGATGCCATATGGTGTGGCCCCATATCCACCAAACCAAATTCAAACCCCACAATCAGTCGGTCTTCCTTCACCTCCAACACAGCTTGCACAACAGCAACTTGCTTATCAGCACATCCACCAGCAACAGCAACAGCAATTGCATCAACAACTCCAGAATTTTTGGGCAAATCAGTACCAGGAGATCGAACAAACAACCGATTTTAAAAACCATAGTTTACCCTTGGCTAGGATTAAGAAGATCATGAAGGCAGATGAGGATGTGAGGATGATATCAGCTGAAGCCCCAGTCATATTTGCCCGTGCATGTGAAATGTTCATCCTTGAGTTAACTTTAAGGTCTTGGAATCACACAGAAGAGAACAAGAGAAGGACACTTCAGAAAAATGACATTGCAGCTGCAATCACGAGGACTGATATTTTCGACTTCTTGGTTGATATAGTACCAAGGGAGGATTTAAAAGATGAGGTACTTGCATCGACCATCCCTAGGGGTGGTCCCCTTCCTGTTGGACCTCCAACTGAGGGTCTCCCTTACTATTATATGCCTCCTCCACAAGTTGGTGGTTCTGGGATGTATATGGGTAAGCCTGTGGATCCTCAAGCCCTTTATGGACAGCAGCCTAATCCATATATGGCTCAGCCTCTTTGGCCACAACAGCAGGAACAAGAACCACAGGGAGATGCTTAAGCCAGGACTTCCCAAGATGATGGATGAGGTCAGTTCACTGCTTCCCATGCTTACCTTGAACTTTGAAAATGATGATATTTGACGTTAAAATGCAATTGTTATTTGTCGACTATCATCCATGATTTGCTGTATCTTTTATCCTCTCCGTCCCAAACTAAATGTCCACATTGAAAAGACAGTTTTAAAAATGTGTAAATATTATACTTTGTGATTAACTAAATGACAATTTTACCTCTTAATAGTAGAGGGAGTAATGAATTTCTCTATCTCATAATTAAGCATAGAATTAGAAAGTAGTCACTTACTCCTGAAAGTGGACTTTTGTTGGGACAAACTAAAATAGAAATGTGGATTCTTTTTTCCGGTTAGAGGGAGTAATAGAAATAGGGAGCTCCTTTGGTTTTTTTTTCTTGGGGGGGGAGTGTTATATGTGCTATTTAGCTAGGTAGGCTCTTTGCATTCTTTTATAATTTTTTATTTAAATTCTTGCTATGTGCTTCGTGAAAGTATTATTGTGCTTTATATTTTCATTAGTTAAGCTTTTCCACTAGCGAGTGGGTCTTTTCAAACACAGTCTCTACGTCTCTTGAGACAGGGGTGAGGTCTGGATAGATTTTACCCCTCCGAGACCCTACCTCCGGGTGGAATATACCTGGTTAACATGCAAGCTAGCACTTTCTTATTTGTTCAGGAAAGGTTTATATACGATGGAAAGACGGTTATATGTCTTACATATGTGCGACTATATTGTTGGTCATATGATATATAAAGTTATGGATAAATAAAGCATACTATCTGCCGAGGAAGCCATATATCCCAAAATAGAGCTATGCTCTACATAATTGCTTAGTAGGCTGACATTTGCATTCCAAAGTATCCCAATCAATACATGCAATATGCAACCAGCACCTCAATATGAACCTCCTACCAATTCGTACTCACACACATCAACATCAAAATGGATTTCAATAGTAGGACCCAAAAATCCAAAATGGATCAAATAGTAGGACCCCTGCAAAAATAGTACTGGCGATTCTAAATGTACCCCTTCTACTTGCTAAATTACCCCTCCCCCATCATTTCCGCGCTCACAAACCTTTTTACATTTACAGTGCACGAAGGAACCCCAATTTGCTTCAAAAGTGGGTAATAGTATACTCCTTTGTTCCCAAAATTAGTGTACACATTTCCATTTTAATTTTTGTCCCAAAATAAGTGTCTACATTCAAATGTAAGTGTAGACTTTCTACTTCTACCCTTAATTATGAGAAAGAAAGTCATTACTTCATCAAGTATTAAGCTACAATTGTCATTTAGTTGATTAAAAAGCGTAAACAATTACACATTTCTAAAACCGTGTTCCTTTTAATTGCGGACATTTGTTTCAGGGAGTATACGAAAGGCAAGTATCATCTTGATCTAAATGGTGCAGATTTTGGTTATTTTCTCTGCTACTAACATTATTTTGATTTGATGGTTCATGCAGAAGCCTTTAGTGATGTAACAAGGTGGATGTGTAAGACCTTTATGAGGTTACTTTTCATTTGGCTGGTAGGATGCTTTTGGTGTTTTAACTTGTTGTCATACTTGGTGTTTGTGTTGTTGAATTGAGTAGGTCTATAAATAGGCTCTTGGCCTGAATTGAGAATGTGTAGTGCTGACGATGGACATCCTCTTATGTAGTTGTATGTTGAATGTTCTTGTGAATTGGCGGATGTTCAAATGTTCTTGGTTTGAACCATTTACCTTCTGTGTGGCTGAGTCAACGACCCTTTGGTTCTTGCGGCTCCTTTTCCTTGCAATTAGAAGGTTCATTATCCTACTAATGGGAACCAAAGGGTCATTGGTAGAGTTCATGAGGTCAATGGTTCAAACGTCGATGAAATGAGTAGTGATGAAATGAGTAGTGGGAGTATCTGCCTTTATAATAAAAAACCGAGTGGTGAGAATGAGGGTGAATATGAGGTCGGATTGTGGGTTCCGTTATCAATGTTGTGACCATTTTGACTCTCATTCCTCTAAAACTCATTGAATTTTCTACACGACTATTTTTCGTGGACGATTAATCTTGCTAAATATTGTCTAGGTGCATATCTGGATTCTTTTTAGATGACCGGTTAACCGATTATGATTCAATTTGTTCGTTTAAAACGTCATGTGGTGCTTGCCCATTGGTTGATCGGTTAAGTAACTGGATCTTGAAGACTTGTATACCAGTCTATTCATCTACATATTCTAGGCCAGGTCCCGATTAACAGATCGAGACTGTTTTACACTATAACTGATTTTATGGTGGTACGTTTTGAGGAAACCGATTAAAAGGATTGGTAATAACCACTTTTTGCTCAGTGCAATGTAGTAAAACATTGTAATTATAAGAGCATCTTCAATTACTATGTTAAAATAGAGATTTTAAGAATTTAGTAGTTTTTTTTTTTAATTTAAACAACTATATTAAAACATATGCTAAAAATAGAGAGGAATAAAATTTTTAAATTTGGTAAAATCTTTGAAACTCTATGACAGAAGTATCAGAAATAAATGTTTAAAGTAGAAAAATAATATCTGATTAAATATATTGAATATTTTGATGGTATATTTAATATTAAAATTGTTAAAACAGAGTAATTATTGGAGTTGTATTTATTTTTTTTTAATATATTATTTTTAAAATAAATATAATATGCTAGTTGAAGATTGAAAAACCATAATTTGGTTTTGCCATCTGATTTTTTCAATAGCATTTTGATGAAAAAATAAGCTTGAAATCTTTTCAAACTTAATCATTTAAAATTTTAAATTTGTATGTACGGCTACAAATTCATCCAGAGGTTGTTTGTTTACCTCTTAATAGTTTTATTAAGAGACAACATCTAAATCGTTAAGAAATGAATCTTGTTTGCCAAATTTGGTCTATTTTTGGTTGAGTCCTGTACAAAACTTTTATTGTAAGAAAATCCTTTTAACATGCAAAATTGCTTGGTTTGGGTCTGTATACAACTTTTATTGTAAAAAAGATCCTTGTAACATGCAAAAGTGCTTGGTTGGATCCTTTGAGGACTAACACCATTAAAAAAGTTCGTTAAATAAGAGATATTATGATCATTTTACTTTTTAATTCAATTTTCTACTAGAAATACAATTTATTTAAACATAATAATAATAATAATAAATAACAAACCATGAGATCAAAAATGCAATTTACTCACAACAATTAAAAGAAAACAATAGACTAAATTACAAATTTTGTCCTTGTGGTTATATGTAAATTATGGATTAGGTCTCTCAAACAAAATAATTACAAGTATCATTATTGTGGTTTCTGTTTGTTATGGATTGGATCCCTCATCCTAACTCCTTAAACCTATTGCCGTTAAATTCCCTCATATGAGGGGCATTTTAATCATTTTAACAGTTTATGTAATGTTTTTATGAGTGTACATATTTCAATACACTTTGTACAAATATGTAATGCATCTAATAAATAAATAATAAATAAAAAGAAAACCTATTTGTAAAGCATCTAATAGATAAACTAGTTGTGTACCCGCGCAATGCGGCATGTGCCATAAATTTTAACGATTTTGAAGCTTCAATGGTTTTGTTAAAGGAGATTTTAACGATGATGTAACTTACATTTTGTCTTTTACATATCACTAATTTTTTGACGATTAAGTATAATCTTTCCAATAAAACATATAATCAAATGCAATCAACATAAAATTTTCAAAAGAGTTGCAATCCAACCTCCTCCTGCACAGGCAAATCACTGGTTCACCATTCAAATTCAAAATATCGTTGCTTCTCTTCAAACGATGCCTAGGAAGGGACATACAATAAGAATTAGAGTAAGAGGTTGTTTACTAAACGCTTACCCAGTTTACCTTATCGAACTAACATGACAATGATTTAGAGAATCTTTCCCGGTAAGAGCGATAATAAGGACAATAGAGTCTTATACAGTAAGTGAGAGTAACGACTCTTACCAACAAGTGCTTACCGGATAAAAATGTTCCATACAATGCCATTTTAATGGACTAAAGTTTTAAGAAGTAATTTAAATGGAAGTGTTTACAATTACCGGTAAACACTTACCGAGTAAGCAATTGGTGTAAACAACCCCCAAGTATGGTTCTCAGAGAACTTTAAGACTCAGAGTACATGTGTTTTTAATGAGTAAAGAACGGTGCAAAAACCTACCACCCCTTGTTGAATTTTGGATGCTTCCATACCAAAATTGGCCAATTTTCTACAGAGGTCTATATCTTCGTCTGGAAGTTCTGTAAGGGGAACCCTTATAGCATCACCAAGACTATCATGTATTGTATACCAGACAACTTAAAGCAAGTATAAACCACAAGTGCATATGCATGACACAAAAATGAAGGAGATGAGCAAGATTATATAAACAACGCAATTGGATGATATATTTTGGTGTTTTTCCGATATTATCATAATATCTAATCTTAATCAAATAGATTTTGATTTTGATCATTTCCTTGTCTTAAAGACTCCTCTCACTATATAATTTTAGCACATTTTAAATGCTAGTAGTAGAACTACACATTAGTTGGCAAGAGAAAAATACCACAATTTACATCCATTTATAATACATATATACCTTCCGTTCATTCTAAACCTCCAAATAAAAAGCAAGAGACTGGAATGTACTTCAAAGTATAAAGAATTCAAAGGAACTTACTCTAATAAAACCTAACTTAATAAAGAAAACATATATCGATCGATTAATCGCTGCACTTGATATCAGTCATAGCACATACGGGGTAGGAATGAACTTCAAATTATAAAGAATTCAATGTCTTTGCTCTCCCCTTAAGAGTTATCTTGTATGTCCATTAAGCTACAGCTAACATGAAATACCCGTTAAGACTTCCCTATCATGTGAAACATACTCCCTCAGTTCAATTCAAGACTACCCAAATCTGCCGTCACAACCCTAAACACCAAGATTTCATTTTAACCACATAACACCAAAGAGTCAAAACAAACAATGAAGTGAACATTCAAATGACATTTTTACCTTGCAAACCGGGTTGATACACTCGTTTTATCTGGTAGTTTGGTATTACTTAAAACACCTGCAATTGAAACATAACAACATCTAATAAATGTCGTAGCCGGTCAATACCGTAAAACTACTCAAAGAATCTGAACAATCCTTATATCAAGACCGACCATAAAATGTACAAATTCAAATTTAAAACCACATTTATCCCGACAATATTATTAATTCAAGAACAACTGCATTTCTTGAAGAAATATTAAATATTCGAACTCTAGTTATACGTGTAGAATCTTCTTGAAGACTAACATTGGCAGAGTATCTTTCCACCTGAATCTCATGGAACTACAGAGAGAGATATCTATGAACATGAATTAATTCCTTCAAAATGTGAGAAAGTAGAACATACCTTAAACACGAAGAACTTGAAATTTTATTTAACATCTTCGTTCTTTACAGACTAGTCTGTCTTTAAGTAAGAAAGGATCTACCTGGTCAAGCGTAAGTGAAATTAAGTACCAATAAATAACCCATAAGTTAGGAAACTAATTTCTAACTTTATAAGAATCATTCAACATAAACAACCCATCTTTCTTGTCAAAATACAAAAAAAAAACATTTGGTTTGCAACAATGAACAATTTTGGAGAAAAAGCATTAAAGAGAACCCAATTTGTCCAAAATCACTCATTACTGCAAGGTAGACTACTTTAAAAAAAAAACAATGGTTAGTTTGCAAGCAATAGACAAGTACAGTGGTAAACAAGTCAACAACATCATCTGTGAACATGCTTCTTCATATCTCCCTACAGCACAAAGCAGATGTGTACCGGACAATTGTTCATAGCTTCCATATGGATTCTTCTAATGGCTTAGATTCCTAATTAGCTAACGAATTTCAAACAATAACATCATCATATTTGTAAGTCGAACAATAGCTTTGATATATGTGACATCCGGAAATTTAAATACCAGGTTAGTAGCTAGATATCACTTTAGAAATATTATTAACACTCAAGTAGAGCGATTTAGAGCTTAAGTAGTTAGAAATTCCGATAGGTTGCGTAGAAAACACTGTTATGACCCGTAACCAACCGGATCGTCTTATAAAATGCCAAACACTCCAAATAATTTTTAAAACTTGCATAAAATATAGAGTCTACATATTTTAAATATTTTTACTTGAATTATATTTTATGAATTTATTTATCTCATAAAATAGGAATTTATGTTTTTTTCTCAATTTCTCACAAAAATACCCAACTCATTAAATTATGGGCTAATTTTACAAAAAAAAAAAAAAATTTAGAGAGAGGCCCATAGGCCCATCAAGTGGCCGCCCCCCTCCCCTCTCCTTATAAATACATTTTGAATTTTTAAAATACTCATTTCTCATTCATTTTTCAACATTTCATCTCCTTACTCTCTTCACTCTTCACTTACAACTCCCTTTCTCCATCTTCTTCTTCAAGAAAGAAAATTCAGCCATATCAATCATAGAAAAGAAAGATTCAAGAAGCAAAACTTGAAGAAATTTAGGATCATCTTTTAATCAAAGGTAAGAACACTTGTTAGTGTTTTGACTTTATTTTATGCACTTTTAGTGTCATTTTCTTGTCATTTTCATACTTTATTGTTTACAAAGGAGAGGTGTTCTTTATTTTAAGTTCTAAGGGTAGATTTTACACCAAAG